TAAGTTTCTACTATGTTGGACAGAGTTCTTTCCCCTCAGTGCAGTGACTAGGGGTCCCTGTGGAACTGGTGGGAGAAGAGAGCAGCATGAGTCTCCTGGAAAATAACACATTCCCTCTGTTGTCCACTATATTCTTATATTTGAATCCTCGGTCCCCAGTTACTGACGCTGTTTGTGAGAGGTTAGTAGGTGTGGCCTTGTTGGTAGGAGTCTGTCACTGAGAGTGGCTTTGAGATCTAAAAGTCTCCTGCCAATCCTAATCCACTCTCTGCTTCCTGTTTGTGGTTCTAGATGTGAGCTTTCAGCTTCCAGCTCCAGTTGCCATGGCTACCTGCAGCCTTGTTTCCCTGCAGTGTTGGTAATGGACTCTTATCTCCAAGTAAATACTTCCTTGGTCCATGGTGTTTTATCACAGCAACCAGGAAGTAACTAATACAGCTCGTCATGCATGTATATGTATGTTTACAAACACGTAGGCACATGTGTGTAGGTACTTGCCCCAAATTGGTGTCAGATGTCTTCCACAGTTGCTCTTTGCTTTATTTCCTGAGGTGGAGGCCTCAGTAAATCCAGAGCTTGCCAATCTCAGTGTCCAAATGAGCTTTGTCTGTCAACTGACATGACCTAGAGTCACCTGAGAAGTATCAGTTGGGGAATGCTCAGATCAGATTGACCTGCGGACAGATGTGTCTGTAGGATTATCTTGATTGTTTGTTGATGCCAGAGGACCATCTTAGGGATTTTACTGCTGTGATAAAATGCAAGGACATAAGTGACTTGGGGAGGGGAGAGCTTATGTGTCACTTCCACATCACAATCCATCATCAAAGGAAATCAGATAGGAACTCAAGGCAGGAACCTGGAGGCCAGAGCTGATTCAGAGGCCATGGAAGAATGCTGCTTACTGGATTTCTCCTCGTAACTTTCTTAGCCCACTTTCTTATAGTTCCAAGAACACCATCCCTGAGTTACACGGCCCACTGTGAGCTGGGCCCTCCCACATCAATCATCAATTTAAAACAAGAAATGTACCACAGGCATGCCCAAGGGCCATATGGCAAGGGTATTTGCTCAATTGAAAGTTCCCTTTTCTTAAATAAGATCTGGCTGTGTCATGTTGACATAAAACTAGCCAATACAAGGTCTTAGCCCACTGTGAGTAGTACCTTCCCTGGACCAGAGGTTCTGAGAGATTGCATATACATACATACATACATACATACATACATACATACATACACACACACATGTCCATATATATATGTGTATGTATATATTTATATGTTTGTATATGTATTTATACTGGCTAAGAGGCTGGAGAGCCAGCTCGGAGTTAAGGGCATTTGATGTACTTGTAGAATCCATTTCCATCAGGCAACATACAGTCACCTGTTTTTCCAGTCCCATGGGATCAAAACCCTCTTCTGGCCTCTGTAAGTACCTGCTCACACAGTGAACATCACACACACACACACACACACACACACACACACACACACACACACACACAAATAGCTCTTTGGAGGGAGGAGTGGGGAGGGGAGAACACATGAGTGCTGGCATTCCTCCTTGGTTTCTGCTTCAAGTTCTTGCTTGAGCTCCTGCCCTAGCTTTCCTCAGTGATGGACAGCAACCTGTAAGCTGAAATAAACCTTTCCCCCCTAAGTTGCTGCTGGACAGAGTGCTTCCCACAGCAGAAGAATGAAAGTGGAACTCTCAGTTACTTTAGCTAGTCAGTTTGTCCTTGGCATCTCTCTCTGTCTCCCAAGGGCATAGTGCCCAGCTTTTATGTGACTTCTGAACTCTGGCTTCATGCTTGTGTGACAAACACCTTATCCACTAAGTCATATACCTCCACAGCCCTCAAATAATGTTTTTAACCGACCTATTTTCATTGGACATGGTCCTGGGTTTCACAAGGACATTTTCGTTCCTGTGTGCAATGTGGTTCAAGCATACAGCTCTCCTCGCCATCCCTTTTTATCCTGGATTTTTTTCCTATCTGTGACCTAAAAATGATTAAGAAACAACTGTTCTAGCTTTGCTCTGAACTTTTAATACCAAAGGAGGTTAGGAGGAATTTGGTTTAGCATGTCAGATAGATTTAGATTTGAATTGTCTCCCATACATTTAAATTGGATGGATTTGGGCAGGCTGAACCCAAGCATTCTCTAGTGTGTCCCGAGGATAGAAAGGCTTATTTTAAAGTTGTAGTTATAGATAAAACTAAATACACAAAGAGTACATGCTTAGAACAATTCTCTTGTTACTTCAGAATACAAAGGTACCTGCCTTATTCCATGTTGGCTCCTGCCCAGATCTGTACATGGTGCCTGGCACACTGTAGATACCAAATGTTGGTTCAGTGGGTGAACAGAATGCCTTGGTTTAATGCCCAGTGAAGTCTTTGCCTACAGTGATATTTCTTCAAAGTACTTGTTTTCTAAGGGAGACTCTGGTGCCATCTTTGGTTTTGTTGGTGCCCTTCTGAGACATTTGACTCCATGTCCTGTAAAAACCTGGATACATGAGAAGACTTGATCTGCTTAACCCATGTTCTAAGACATGATCTGTGCCAGGACAAGGCAGACTAGTATGTAGAGCTGATCTGTCCCCTTGCCTTGTTTCATAAATACAGGTTTATTGGCGCATGGCCATGTTCATTGACTTATTTGTTGTCTGTGGCTGCCTCTATATCTGCCAGAGTCGGACATTCCAACAGAGACCACGTGAAATGCACAGCAGCTCTCATTAACTGTCTTTGCATTGGAAAATCCTGCTACTCCCTGATGTACTCCTTACTTCAACTCTTTGGGACTGGTTTTTATTCTATTTTATTTTGCATGAAAGTCTCCATTAATTACAAAATCTGACCTGACTAGCCTCAAACTTGGAGCAATACTCTTGCTTCAGCCTCCCAAGTTCTGGGATTACAGGTATAAACCATTGTGCCCAACTCAGTATTAGCTTAAAGATTGTCCTTTTTAATGGATGGGAAGCTAAGACTTAACAAAATTATGATTTGGTTCAGGTCTGAGTGAATCCGTAGCCCATGGACTTCACACTAACAGCTGATAACTTTCAACTCGGCACAAAACCTAATTGAAAGAGCCCCACCCTACCAGGCCTGCCTGGTGTGAAAAGCAGACTAGGAAAGTGCTTCAGAGTCATGAAACACCCTGGTAGTCCTGGAATTTGTCTGAAACCTAGGGTAGAGTAAGGGCAATGGAGACTATGTGCAGATGGAAGGATGGGTGCAGATGGGTGCTGGTGATTTTTAAGTTGTATATGAACACAACATTGCTTCCCAAGGGGGCATTTACAAAGGAATGCCTATGGTTGCTGAATGTGACACTCACACTAGCCTTGAACTAGAATATGTAATGAACATACAATGTCAGCCTACAACTACCCCATAGATGTTTCCTGGGGTAGCTGTAAGGCCTTTGAATTTCCTTGGTTGCTTCTTGGTGCTATGCCATCCCTGTTTGATCTAATTTTGGGGTTTACAGGTAAAGTCCACGGCTGCTTCTGCTGTTACCTCATCAGTCCATAATCCACCCCCCCAACCCCCGCCTCCCTCTGTTTTCACCTTTCTAATTAATTTTCCAAGCTTATGAACTGGTTATGACTGAACAAAGGAAGCAAAATTGGAAGTCTCGTCTCTTCCTTCTATAATCAACTGCTCAGCAGGGCTTTTGCCTTGTCGCTGAGACGGCCATATAATACTGATAACAGTGACAAAGTTACAGCCACCCACCTGGAAGGAACATATTTGGGTAATTCATCTATGTGCCAAAGGATGTACCACATGTAAACTGGCAGCCCTGTTCATCCATTGTCATGTAAAAATGGATGTCGGATCTTTGGGTTGGCAAGGGGAGAGGTGAGATGGGTTAGGCACCAAGTGTTCTTCCTGCTGGGCTGTTTGTCAGCTGTCTCTACAGCTGCCATCAGGGAGGGTCACGGGCTCTCGCTTTGTCAGTGGGGAGCTGCTGGGGGAAGATTCCACAGGAAGGCTACAGAGCTGTGGGGTGGACAGGAAGGAATCAAGGCTATAATTAACTTTCTGCCTCATTGTGTTCTATAGCAGTGACCCTTCTTCCCCCACAAATGAAACCCTAGACTCTAACTCTGTGGCTCACTCACTTATCTTTCTGGCTTCTGCTGAAAATATAAACAGATTAAAAAGGAAAAACAATGGGACTGCTGTGGTGTGTTGGAGGTAGACAGGGAAAATGGAGTGGCATTTGTTCTGTTGTACCACTGGAACCCATGGGAGGAATTATGGGTTGATTAACATTGCAAATAAAGGATTGATTGAAATTCTTGACCTGTTGTTTAATTATTTAAAGTGAACGCCTCTAATACAAAATACTTTTGTCTTTGTGGCTCTTTTGGCTAATTCCTAACGTGCTTTAATTCTCTGGTTTGTTTGTTTGTTTTTGTGTTTAAGCTTTGGGCAGTTGAAGTAGATCTCCATCTTTCATTTTATTTGTTTGTGCCTCTCATTGGCCAAAGCTGCCGCTATATGGTTATATTTACATCTTGGGAATATGTGTAGTCTGGACCTGATAGAGACTATAGGAAGAAAATTTAAAAATATGAATGACTGTTGTATTCTTTGAGTTGGGGAGGAATTGGCAAATTAACTAATCTGGGGAAAGAGAAAGCATGTTGATAGACCGGTTCTCCTGTAATTACAATGCTGTACACCCATTAGAGAAAGTAACTGTATTTGTTCTTCCTGTAGCCACATTAAGAAGCCAGGCTCCTGATGTATTGTTATTTCTGCACATCTTTGTTGCCCTCTAAGTCATGTGTAATTTCATGATGGGTTATGGGCTTTTGTGTGGCAGTGGGGGGTTGGGGTAGTGGTAGCAGGATTAGAGTAGTGGGAGTGGGGGTTGGGGTGGGGGTGGGGTGCATCATAATGCCTACAGTGCTTGACTGCCAGTTTTGCCGAGCCCACATGTTGTACTTACTTCTATGTCTGGCAGGGAGAAATGCTTGCTGCCTCTCCAGTTGGCTTTGGAATCGAAGAATGTGAAGCTGGCCCAACATGCTTTGGCTGGGATGCAGGTATGACTTTAACTGGGTGCAGTCATGTGATAGAAGCTGACAGACCATGTTGGCATTGAAGGAACGAATCATTAGCATTTTTTAAATACTGGCTATCTAAAAATTTGATTGAATTCAAATAAAAGCTGCAGAATGTGTTTCTATTCAGGAATCTGTACTGGCCTGTCCTTGGGGTTCTGACAGGATACGCCCTCAGCTGCAGCCACCAAGAGCACCACCTGTGCACATTCACTATGTTCCCTTTCAAAAGAGCCCTGCCCACCTCCCATTCTTTTGTTTTTTTTCTTTCCTTCTCTCTGTATGTTCCTCCATCCCTCCCTTCCTTCCTCTCTCTCTCTCCTTCTCTCTCTCTCCCTCATTCTCCCCCCTCTCTGCTCTCTCTTTTCTTCTCCTGCTCCTGTCCCCAGAGACAGTCCTCTCACATCTTCTTATAGACTCCAGAGTGTCTCTGGATACAGCGTTACGTGATTGAGCCTCTGTAGTCAAGCATTGATTCACAGGGACCCAGCCAAGCCCAAAATGTTCACACCAATTCAGATTTCATCTGTGTTCCACATCTGTAAATTTGTGCAATCAGAATTGAGAGTAAACTAAAAGGTGATTTTTTCATCAATTTATCTTAGTGAAGTTTTATACAATTATATATTATACATTGGGCAGGCTCCCCCATACCCTCTAGCTTAACTTTTCTCCCCTCCCTGCTCTCATTACAGTAGTCCCCTTTGTTTCCCTAGACAGTTCCCTTCTATTTTCATGTCTCTATCCATACATGATTTTTGTTGTTGTTGTTATATACATGACACTTTCTGACCACAAATGAGAGAAAATATGGCACTTGTTTTTCTGGGACTAGCTGAATATTATGATCTCCGTTGTATCTGTTTTCCTGAACATGACATGACATTCTGATTGGTATATATTCACCATCCTTGATAATGAGGTTTCATAAAGATATTTCATACATGTATATCATATACTTTGGCAGTATTCACCCTACAGTCCTCTCTGTTTTCCCTCTCCCCCCAGCCTCTCTGCTTTTCCTCTCCCCCTTTCTTAGCACCTTGTTTCTCTTCTTTCCCAAATATCTTCCTTCTACTGACCCATATCTGATTTTATGTATCTCTGTAAAATACAAACCCTGGGAATAAGAGAAAAAACATCATATTTGTCTTTCTGAATCTGAACTTGTTTTGATTTTTTTATTCTACAGTTAGGCTGGTAAATGGATTAATATATTATGTTTCTAGACCAAAACTATAAAGAAAAGAAAAAAATTATTTGGTATAATCCAAAAAGTGAGATTACTTGAACACATGTTTCTCTAAGCATTTGTGTTTTATACCAGAGTGGCTCTAATCCATACTGTGAAAGGAGATTTTATAAGGCCTTTAGTCTCTAGAGACACACAGTGAAGATCAAGTCTGCAGTGATATTTGTCCCTTTTTGTCTTCATGTTAGCATGAGCAATTCCTCAGGACTTTTAGGCTCAGAGTCCCTACTTTCTGCTTTCTAAGAGTGCAGCCATATAAAAGAGTCAGAAACCAGGTCCCATTAGCCTCAGCGGATACAGTGTATTTTAACAAATAAAAGCATAGGAAATTTTGACACAGCGTAGTCTTAAATCTTCTTCAAAGGCATTTGACCTCTGGAATTGGTCATCCACAGAAATAAGTAAGGATTTGTTTTGAGCTGCTGCATTTCTGTCTTTTCTCTAGTATCACGTAGATTTCCCATCTTGCTTTTCTTTTCCAATTCTGTGACATTTAAAGCTGCGGTTCCATGTTTTCAAGAGCTTGCTTAATCGTATTCATGTTGGTAATTAATGGCCGAGTCTTCCTTTTATGAGCCTGTCCCTTGCTCCCGATGGCCTGGTAACTTTAGGCACAAGTGCAGAGCTTCTAGGCCTTTCTTACTTTAAGACAGCTCCGATATGAACTTCAACTCCGGACTTCTCTGAGGGATGCTATAAGATTTGAAACAGCTTCCTGCTGTGGCTCACTTACAATAGAAAAGAACGTATTGGGCCAAGAATAAATATAAAGTGCTATGCTGAGTCTCAGTGTGGGAAAAAACCCATTGCACCAGTTCCGTATTGGAGAGAAACCTTAATTGCAGCCCTTGTGGGTGAGAATGGGCTTTCAGGGGGAGAGAGCATAGAACGTACTGTGACTGTCAGCAACGTTCTAACAGGAGAATGTGACTCAAACTGTGTCACTCTCTAGTGTCAGGCCATGCCAAAAGGCCTTTGGTCATTCCCAGGGCACATTTTTCATGTATTTTGGATGCTTCATCTATGTGACTCTAGAGAAGTGTGGGAGAGTAGTGTTGTAGGCTCCTAAACATTGAAGAATCTTTTGAAAAATAAACATTGTCCTGAAGTAGCAAAAAGCTGATCCACAGGCTTCCCTGATGTCCTCATGCAAGTGAATTCCTTCATTTTTCTAGTGGGATATATATTAAGGTTTATGGATTTGGGAATAATTTCCAGATAAGTGAAGCTCGTATTAGGTAATAAAGCATACATATCTAAAAAATGAAGTTACGCTCTCAAGACCTTCTCCTGTCGTGTGACAGAACTTACATTCAGTAAGAGTGCATTCTTCATTTCCACTGCCTGCATCACCTAGATGGATACGCATAGCCCTGTACTGACTGAAATGTAGAGTGAATTCTCTAGCCTGAGAAAGACCAATTCTTCTTAAGTGTTTTTCCTCTTAGTGGTATGCAGCATGAGTTCTTGTCTGATGACCTCCAGCTAGATACTCCTGAGTCAGGAAAATGAGCATCGTACATAATAAGCTGCAATCACTGCCTTGTGCCTTTTTCCAGAAGCTCCTGTCAGAAGAGAGGTTTGTATCCAGGGAGACAGACTCTGATGAGAAGCAACTGCTCAATCAGATCCTGAACGCCGTGAAAGTGACACCTTTGCTCAATGAGGACCTACAGGTGGAAGTGATGAAGGTTGGTGTGACATGAGACCAATTGCGCATCAGTGGGGAAGGGGCACATTGTGACCCCGGCCCTTACTGTCTCAAAGCTGCCTTTCTACTGTGACTGTATCATTGTGTGGTACAGTCATCTTATCTGGAATACAGTTACCATACTGGCTGTGGCCTTCCAAGCTCACCTTGATTCTTTAGGAGTGACAAGGTACAGTTCCGAGAAGCGAGGTCTCTGCCCTGATCTGGCTTATCAGATGTGTGCAGTTTCAGTGTGGGATCAACCTGACCATCTGGGTACCAGGCCTACCTGTATGCACTACATCAAAGCAAAAACCTAATCATGTTTGCCGTAGACTGAGACTGTGCAGCCCTGGCTGTTCTGGAACCCTCTGAATAGACCAAGATAGCCTCAAACTCAGGGACTTTGCCTTATTTAATGTTAGCACTGACCCATTAAGATTCCTTAGTATGAAGCAAGGCAATGTTTATAAAAATTTGACTTGCTATCTGTCAAAAAGCAAATTCTTTGAAACTTCTATGTTCTGGATGCTGCTACTGCTTCCTGCTCCATTTGAGTGGGAACCAATGTGGTAGATCCAGGATCATGTAATTTTCTCAAGTGTCTCAAGTGAGACTTAGAAACCTACATGCTGACTGATTTTTCAGGTCTCATTCTTCTTTAACTCTCTTTGCTTCTACAACATTCAGTTTGACTTATCCTTTGATATATTTTGGCAGCTGTATGCTATATACTCATATAAACTAGGTTATAACCACTCCTAGATGTGTTTTATTTCTCCATTGCCTCTGTCCCATTCTTTGTGTGTGTGTATGTGTATGTCCTTGTATGTACAGACATGTGGAAGCCAGAGATTGATATCAGAGGTTTTCATTGATTATTGTCCACCTTGTGTTTTGAGACAGGGTCACTCACTGAACTTGGAGTTGGCTAGTTTGTCTACAAGTTCCAGGGCCATTCCTGTTCCTGCCAGACCTGGGATTGTAGATGCATGCTGCCCATAGCAGGCTTTTAACGTGGGTGCTGAGGATCTGAACTCAGTCATCGTGTTTACATGGCGAGCAATTTTCATACTGAGCAGTTACCCCAGCTCACCTCTGTGCTACTCTTGGAGAGGCAAAGCTGGCCACCTTGCATTTGGGACTTCAAAGTGTAGTCTTGTTTTTGTTTTTGTTTTTTTTTTTTTTTTGAGACAGGGTTTCTCTGTGGCTTTGGAGGCTGTCCTGGAACTCACTCTGTAGACCAGGCTGGTCTCGAACTCACAGAGATCCACCTGCCTCTGCCTCCCGAATGCTGGGATTAAAGGCATGCACCACCAACACCCAGCCAAAGTGTAGTCTTAAGGGTCAACTGCCTCTGAAGTCTCATGCTAAATTAGAATATTATAATTTTCATCTCTCCTGTCTATGCACAGGAGATGTCAAAACAATTTTATAGTAATTTCTAGAAACTTGTCCTCTTCATCTTATAATGACCCAAGCAAACAACTTATAATTAAGTTCTAGTTTTTGCTAATATTGCTACTGTATCAAAATACCTTTACCCACCTATTCTCCCAAAAAGTATACTAAGAAAAAAATAAAATTATTTGGGCATAGAAGGAAAGACTAGATTTCCATTACACCAGAAGAATGTGATGATTTAGTCTTTGTTTTTCTATGTAACTCATTCCTATAAGAAGTTATTTAAACAAGATATTTGTATGAATATTTTACAGGCACATATTTGAGTTTTTTTTAGTTTTTGTTGTTTTGTGGAGGCTTTTGTTTCTTTGATGTTTTTTTTGTTTGTTTGTTTGTTTTTGTTTTTGTTGGGGAATCCCACTCTAGCCTTGGCTCATGTAGAACTCACTATGTAGCCCAGGCTGGCCTCAAACTTAGATGGCTTTCTTCCTGCTTCACCATCCCAAAAGCTAGAATTACAGGAACGCACCTCCATGCCTGGTCCAAAGAAGTTAAAACGGGACATAGTAAACATTTTCAAATCTTGGTCTGGACTTAAGACTCAGGAAAGCTACTTTTCTCTTATGTCTGTCCAATACTGCACAGTACATGTCTATAAAACACCCTGGTGATACCCAGGAGGCATGTGTTCCCTTCTGAGTCCTGAGTCTCATTGCTATCATTGATAAAGGAATTTAGAAATGGGCTCAGAAAGAAGCTCCTGATAAAAAACAACAGGGTGGACAGCTGCTTGGGGGAAAAGGGGGCAGAAAACCAGCATGTTCCCTGTCAGAGGTTGACCAGCAGCTGTGTGGCAGAAGGGGAGGAACTTTCAGAGAAAGGGTTAGAAAGCTAAGAGTCTCAGGAGAAGCATGCTTAGGTTTTTGACTGGTATCCGAAAGATAAAGGTATAAAAAAGAAGGAAAAGGAAAAGCTACACTTTTTTGAGTTAGAACTCTGAAAAGCCTGCAGGCTCAGCAGTGCTGCGTGGTGGCTCTGTAAGCAGCTGGCTGGGGCCGGAGCTTCTGGGAAATAGAAGGTTATCTCCTTAAGGGGCTAATTATGCCTCCCACCTCTTTAGGCCCTCTTTCAGTGAATCAGATTTCCTTTGGCCAGTCTCCTAGCCAGGTGACTGACAGGCCCAGGCTGATTAATTCTTAAGGGAGAAATAGTAACATTCCTATCTTTGGGGCCAGAGGTGGAACTCAGATTCCATTCTTTTGTTCAGGAACAAGTAGCTTTCCCTTCCTGGGCCTTGAGAAATCCTCCATAGCGCCACCATTTGATACAGCATTTTAAATCCAAAAGAGGACAGTTTACCTTTCTCATTTTAATGAGACATGGAGTCTCTTTTCAATGGTCTGTAAGCCTGCTAACTTCCTGTAATACTGCGTTTTAATTTTGTTTTTTTTTTAAGGTTTCTTTCAGGATTTTATTCACATACTTTGTTAGTATTTATAAGCATGAGAAATTGAACCAGATTACACTCCTAAAGAATGTGTAACCAGAATGTTAAGTTCCTGGAGAGAAAAATATTATAGTTTCTCTTTTAGGGGTTTTTTAAAAAGAGCAAACAAAATTAGCTGATAATGAAAGCCAGAATTTCAAGGATAGCAGCTTGTTTCACTTAGAAGGAAGAGTCTAGACTTTCAGTCAAAGGGTTAAAACAAATCAGTGATGCTTGGTTCTAACAAATTAAATAGGAATGGTGTTAAATCACTTAATGTGGGAGCTGCTCCACAGTTTTACTATTTAGAGAGAGAGAAGGCAAATTTGATTTATTGAAATGGCCATGGAATCCAAATAAAAATTTTATAGCTTGAGCAAATAAAGTGTCAGAGCTATTGAGAATGAGAAAGAAGGTTTCTCTAAAGATAGATTACCTATGAAAAGGATTCATAGATGGCAGGAGCCTATTTAATATTTAAGCTAAATGTAAGTCTGCTTTGGTAACATTTTCGCCTCGTATGTGTCATTTCCATAAATGCCACACAGAATTTACAAGGAGTCATGGACATAACTAATGGCATTGCTGCCTGGAGTAATTAGGTCTTCCCTTCTTTGTAATGGATAACCTTTAGTGAGGTTATTAACCGATACAGCTGGCTTAGCCTTCAAAGACTGGGAGGAATTACGACTGGCCTTCTGCCTCTGCAACCCAAGGAGAGAGATGAGCATCCTATCTAGGGAGTGCAGACTGGCTGTGGCGATAAGACAGGATATGATACGTGACCCTCTGATGAGAGTTCTACTACTGGATGTATTATTTTATGTATATCCTTAGATAATAGAGATGAATGCTAGTGGGGTAATTACAAATTTCAAAGGGGAAATGACAGGGGTAGATTATTTAAAATCTATTATGTGTCAGACAGTTTGCAAGTACTTTACTTTCATGCCAGGGTCATACAGCTAGTCATACAGAGTCAGAATTTGAACCGTAATTCAACCTGAGAGGAAATATGTTCTCTTAAACAGTAGATTCCCTTCTCTGCTAAGTCTACACTGACAGATCTGCAGGTTGTAGATATTACTATTCCATTGCATAGATGGTTGAACAAAAACTTAAGGCATGAACTACTGAAGGGAAAAGCCAGGAGTGGCCAAGAGAGTCTTGTGTTTCTGTATCCCCCCTGGAGAAATAATCTGCCCTCACCCACTCTATGAGATTCAAATTGGATTTTGTAGGGTGGTTAATCAAGCTTAACAATACAAAGTAAGGTGTCATGTACAACCTCTGACAATAGCACATTAAAATGTCATACAGTTTTTTTATATACATTGGGTTTTTTTTAATGACCTGGAGGCATTGAAGAAAAAAGTCAACGTGTGTGTGTGTGTGTGTGTGTGTGTGTGTGTGTGTGTGTGTGTGTGTGTAAGAAAGAGGAGGGGGAGGGACTTGCATCTACCATCAAGTGCTTTATATGACAGAAGTCTAGCTGATACCTCCAGAACATACACAGGTAGGGAAATCCTGGGTGTGGAGCATGTGCAGTTTGGCTGGCAGTTCTGAGCCTTGGGAGGTGCACTTGGAGCTCTGCTGTCAGAAAGCAGGTAAAGAATGCTTCTGAATGAGCACCTGCAGTCAACCTCTGGGATCAAAGGAAGACAAGGGCTGTTTTCATTTTTTATTTTTCTCTTTGCAGAGCTGAAGGTGAAACCCAGAGCTTGCACACGTTAGGCACACTCTACCACTGACTTGCATCCTCAGCCCAGAAGGATCATGCTTAAGTTCCCTCTCAATAGTATTTTGTGTGCTCACTGTGTGTATGCATGCATGTCCATTTAGAGTCCAGAGATCCACCTCCGGCAGCATCCTCAGGACACCGTCTATCTTGTTTGTTGAGGCGGGCTCTCACTGAGGACAGGCGTGTACTGATTCAGCCCATCTGGCTAGCCAGCAAGCCCTAGGACCCTTTTGTTTCCACCTTGCCAGCACTGGGTTACAAGAACACACTGCCATACTTGGCTTTTTCACAGGAGTTCTGGGATTGAACCCATGTCCTCATACGCAAGCACTTTACCCTCAGAGCTAGCTATTCATGCTCAGCTCTCTAT